TAAGTGCCTGAGACTGAAGTTAGTGGTGGCGGTGGTCGGAGATGGTTTTCCGGTGATTGAACATAATGACGAAGAGGAGGAGTGGGGATGAGTTGGGTTGGGAGGCCGCAAATTAATTTTATTGTTTAGATAAATAAAGAATTAATGAATAAATAATTTATTAATTAAAGAAAACAATAGGTGAGGTCAAAATAATATTTTTTATGTTTTTCAGGGATCAAAAACGCACAAAAACATACTATGATTGTCTAAATTAAAAAAAATAAGTCATAGAAGAAAGCCATAAAAGAATATACTTGGATGAGTGAATGAAGTCGGCGAGAAGAAAAGTGAGGTTTCTGAGGGTGGTTGCCCTTCTTCCGACCGATGATTTCCTCTTGTTCCTACAAATCAACAACCCTCATCGGTAAAACACATGCACTCGTATATCAGAGAAAAACACAGAAAAGTAGAATGATAATTTTTTTTTTGAACTTCTGAGAAAACTGCAAAAATGGTCCTTACGGTTTAGCGTTTGGAAAAGTTCGCTTTCATCATATATATTAAAAGTGGAAGCAAAAAGGAACAATAATTTTTTGCCTATTAGGTTTTAGCCACAATTTTTTGGTGAATTTGACACTTTTCGTCCCTAAAGTCAAAACTTTTACATTTTTATGTTTTGATTAAGTTTGTTTGCCTTTAGGTTTTTACCACAGATCTTTAGTGACTTTGACACATTTAGTCCTTGCAGTCAAAAGTTTTACATTTTGGTGTTTTTGCCACAAATCTTTAATGAATTTAACATTTTTCGTCCTTGTACTTAAAACTTTTACATTTTGACATAAAAAACACAAAAAAACCTCCTTTTGAATTTTGCTACCATATTTTCCAAACTTTGGCAAATTTAATATTATTGCCACAACATTTTTGAATTTTCTCCATTAGTGTCCATTCTTTTGGTTGTACACTTTTGACATCTAATATTAAGGGTTGTCGACTTTCTCCATTATTTGTGGTGATTTACAATTTCAGCACATATCTTTTAAAGTTTGGTGATTTTCCCATATTACCCAAAAAGCGGCGTAGCCACGAGTTCTTTACTAATATATATTAAAAATGTCTAAAGTTAGGAACAGTAAAGTTCCTAACGATTTGACAGAAGTGGTCCCCTGATTATGGGTGATGTTGCAATTCTGTCTATTTTCTTTTACCTTCCAATTTTGCCACAATACTTTGTGGCTTTGGCAGATTTCGTCCCTCTGGTTTTGGTCCTTTTTTTTTAATTTCAAAGTTAGGAATAGTAAAGTTCCATGTTTTTTGTCAACTTTGCTCCTCATTCTTTAGCTATTTTGACACTTTTGGTTCTTGCAATAAAAATTTTTACATTTTTTAGGAACCTTTTAATATTCAAAGTTTGACCACAAAATTTTATGGAATTGACAACTTTGGTCCCTTTTCTAAAAACTTGCTAACTCCAACCCCTTTAATTTTTTAGCCATTTTGACACTTTGGTCATTGCAGTCAAAACTTTACATTTTTTCATAAAAAACACAAAAAATGGCCCGGGGCAAAGCCCGAGTTTTTCCGCTAAAATAGTCAACAACCAGTTAGAAATAGTGAAACTCATGTTTTTTTTACTGTTTTCGTCCTTGCATTTTTTTTGTCTGTCATTTTCTTCTTTTGTTATATTTTTTCTATATTGGTCCTCATATTTAACTTTTTTGTTTTTTTCCTGCCCTCTATCTATCCGTCTCCGATTGTTTATCAGTATGAAAATAATCCAAAATTAACTAAAAGAGTCATCAACGACGCCTATTAATTTAGAAACAAAAACGACACTCAAATCAGACGCACACGACCAATGCGTAGCATAGACAACATATCTAGTTATCATAAACCATAGGATTAATTTAGGAATACAAATTTTATATATATACAATTGTACCTACAATATATTACTCACAAAGTCGAGGGAATAAATGTAGTTTAACTATACTGTAAGGATCTAAATGAATCTGTTTAATATTTACAAACTGACCCCGTCGCATTCATCTTCCTTCCTCTTCTTCGCAACAACCAGTAGGGTTTATCACTGCGCATCTAAACCCCCAACACCATGGCTGGATCGCGATCCTCTACGACGCGTCTACTATACACTCTACGTTCATCCATCTATCCATCATCAAGATCGCCAACACCACCATCACCCATCACTGCTCTCCTCCATCTCCACCGTCACTACTCCGCTGCACCAGCCGTGAGGGCGAAGGATGATAAGGAACCATGGTGGAAGGAGTCGATGGATAAAGTGAGAAACATCGGAATATCGGCGCATATTGATTCGGGAAAAACGACGCTTACGGAGAGGGTTTTGTTTTACACGGGGAGGATTCACGAGATTCATGAGGTCAGAGGGAAAGATGGCGTTGGTGCAAAGATGGACTCGATGGAATTGGAGCGAGAGAAAGGGATTACTATTCAGTCCGCAGCTACTTATTGCACTTGGAAAGATTATCAGGTGATTTCATTTCCTTCTTTTATTTCATTGTAAATTCGAAGTGCAACCTCCTGAGTGCAAATCCAAATCAGTGCCAGATTTGCTACTTTTCTATAAAGTTGGATGAAATTGTCAAACTGTTGTTTAAAGTTGAAGGAACTCGCCAATTTTAATTCAAATTCATCATGCACCCTCACAAGTCGATGCGTATGTTCTTTTCTGGAAGTTAGGGATCATGATTTGTGCTTTGTTACTCTTTTTCTTGAACTAGTAGACAGTAGAAATGGGGTTTTATGATATGTTAAGTTTGATCTGTAGGTTAAGGAAATAGGTCTTGGTCTGAAAATGTAGATTTGGGTGTTTTTTCTTGATTTATATCCATTTAAAGTGGTGAAATGATCGTTTTTAGGATTCATATGAGTTGTATCTTCAATCATTTAAGTTACTCATAAGGTGTTTTCTGTTTCTAGCTTTATGACTTTCTTAATCCTTCTATTGATTTCATTGTTTCTGCTTGGAAGATTTGGTTTTTGTTTCACTTAGCAATAAAAGCATGTTGTTTTTACTATTTACAGGTAAATATAATCGATACTCCAGGTCACGTGGACTTCACCATTGAAGTTGAGAGAGCTCTGCGTGTTCTTGATGGTGCAATTCTTGTCCTCTGTAGTGTTGGTGGTGTTCAAAGTCAGTCAATTACTGTTGATAGACAAATGAGAAGATATGAAGTTCCAAGAGTTGCTTTTATCAACAAACTTGATCGAATGGGGGCAGATCCATGGAAGGTTCTCAATCAGGTATTTCTTTTCTTCCCCATTAACAACAAGGGCAAATTTGTAAAAAAAAAATATAATATTATTTCCTTGATTTTCTCTATTAGGCAAGGAAAAAGCTTCGACATCACAGTGCTGCAGTGCAAATGCCAATAGGATTGGAAGAGGACTTTCAGGGTCTTGTGGATCTTGTGCAACTAAAGGCTTATTTTTTTCATGGCTCTAGCGGGTTTGTATTTGTTTTACAAGATTAACTTGTATTTTTTTTTAACAAGATAGTGACTTTTATATTTTTTTGGCAGTGAAAAAGTTGTAACAGAAGAAATTCCAGCTGATATGCAAGCAATGGCTGCAGAAAAGAGACGTGAGTTAATTGAAGCAGTCTCTGATGTTGATGATCAGCTTGCTGAAGTATTCCTTAATGATGAACCTATATCAGCTGCTGATCTTGAGGTATATTATTAGCATTTTGGGTATAAAATGTAATTTATACAAACTTTCTGGGGTATAAAATGTAATTTGAAACAGGCAGCTATTCGTAGAGCAACTATAGCACGGAAATTTATACCAGTATTTATGGGTAGTGCTTTTAAGAATAAAGTAAGTAACATCACTTTGTACTTTTCTTTGAAATGATAGGAATACTTTTTATTCTTTAAATTTAAACATTCCTGTTTTCAGCATGTAGTAAACATTTTTTTTTTGTTTAATTTCTCTTTAGGGAGTACAACCGCTTCTTGATGGCGTTCTTTGTTATTTGCCTAATCCACTTGAAGTTGACAATTTTGCCCTTGACCAATCTAACAAGGAAGAAAAGGTAACCAATTTTATAAAACGAGTTTTTGTGTTTATATTCCAATGGCTATTATATGATGTAACAATTTTTGGTTGGGATGCTGACAGGTCAAGCTGTCTGGAACGCCAGCTGGACCAATGGTTGCATTGGCTTTTAAACTGGAAGAACGACAATTCGGTCAATTGACATATTTAAGGTATTTTCATCTGAATTTTTATGTCCATTTGTTTTGAAATAAGTATAACTGATGGTTTTATTTCAATTTGTAGAATCTATGAAGGTATTCTCAGGAAAGGCGAATTCATAACAAATATTAATACAGGAAAGAAAATTAAAGTGAGTTGTAGATAGATGTTTTTGATATAGAAATGTGTTAAATGCAACAAAATAGAAACATACTTTTATTTATTTGTTTATTATATTAAAATTGTGACAGGTATCGAAACTAGGCCGGATGCATTCAGATTCTATGGAGGTACTAATTTCCATTAAAACTTTTTTACTTTTGATACATGAATAAATAATTATGACTTTTTTTTTTTTTTTTTTTAATGTTTAATTATGGAAATTACCATTCAGGACATTCAAGAAGCTCATGCAGGTCAAATTGTAGCAGTATTTGGTTTAGATTGTGCATCAGGAGATACTTTTACAGATGGATCAGTCAAATACACCATGACTTCCATGAATGTTCCGGAACCTGTTGTGTCATTAGCTGTTTCACCTGTTTCAAAAGATTCCGGAAAACAAGTATGATGTCCAAATATAAAATATTAATTTTTAACATTTTCTTTGAAACTATTAATGTTTATTTATCATAAAAAAAATATTCAGTTCTCAAAAGCTTTGAATCGTTTTCAAAGAGAGGACCCCACATTCCGTGTTGGATTGGACCCCGAGAGTGGTCAGGTATTTAATATTAACATATTTATTCATCATAAAAATATTTATTATTTGAAACTAAATTTTGTGTCAACTTCAGACAATTATATCGGGAATGGGAGAGTTGCATTTGGAAGTTTATGTGGAACGCATTAAGAGGGAATATAAGGTACACCATTATTTTGGTTAAAAAAAATCACTTTCTTTGAAACAAATCAACAATTATTTATTTATTTATGTGTTGTAAGGTTGATGCAACTGTTGGAAAGCCTCGTGTGAACTTCAGAGAGACAATTACACAACGTGCAGAATTTGATTATTTACATAAGAAGCAAAGTGGAGGCCAAGGTCAATATGGAAGGGTGGTTGGGTAAGACTCACCAAATGTATATATTTACTTCATTGCTAAAATTTGGTAGATTTTTAATGCCCTAGTTGGATAGATTTCAAAGTACAATGTCTAAATTCAACAATCTATTATTACTTGGTATGCTTTTTCTTAAATATGTTTTTGTAAAATGATAGGTATATGGAGCCACTGCCAGCTGGATCAGAGAGGAAATTTGAATTTGAGAACATGATAATAGGACAAGCTATACCCTCCAACTTCATCCCACACATTGAGAAGGGTTTCAGGGAAGCTGCCAATTCGTAAGTGCTAATAATAATAATAATAATAATAATAATCATACTTGTGTTTGTTTTGTTACCTTTATATTTATTTTAAAAAACTCTTAACTTGTTTTAATTGTATATGTGCAGGGGTTCTTTGATTGGATTCCCAGTTGAAAATATTCGTGTGGTTATGACAGATGGTGCTTCTCATGCTGTGGATTCCAGTGAACTTGCTTTCAGATTAGCTTCAATTTATGCTTTTAGACAGGTAGCTTCAATATATATATATATATATATATATATATATATATATATATATATATATATATTCATAAATGAGTAGAAAGAAAGAAAGGTAATCTAATTGTGTGAGTTAATGTGAAACAAACAGTGTTATGCAAAATGCAAGCCAGTGATACTGGAGCCTGTGATGTTGGTAGAATTGAAAGTGCCAACAGAATTTCAGGGCACTGTTGCTGGTGACTTGAACAGGTAAAATTACTGCTGTAATTTTTGTCATTTATCTGTTTAAACCATATTTATATTATTATATAACCACAGGAGAAAAGGCATAATTGTTGGAAATGACCAAGATGGAGATGATTCTGTCATCAATGCCCTTGTAAGTAAATCATATCATTTATCAAACAAACCATACACCTCACCTCAGTATTAAGACTTAAAAAAATAAATATTATATTTATATATATTTTGGGTTTCAGGTCCCACTGAACAATATGTTTGGATACTCTACAGCTCTTCGTTCCATGACACAGGTCAGTTTCTTTACTCATAATAGCAACCTACCTACTTATTTATTTTACCAAATAAATTAATAGTTAAAAAAAGTACTGGTAGTCAAAATTAAGTAGATAGATATATACTCAACTAGTTTGTTAGATATTTAAAATATATATGGGTTTGTTGTTTGTATTAAATTATACAGGGAAAGGGTGAATTCACCATGGAATACAAAGAACACTCACCAGTTTCTGCAGATGTGCAAACACAATTGATCAACGCCCATAAACCCAAGGCTGAATAATCTAATGGGAAATATATTTTATTATTTTTTTAAAGAAATTTCTAGGATATATTTGTACTAAGAGCTTGTTATTTGTTGAGACCGAAAGTTGGTCAGTAATTTTGTAACAACCAAATAAATCCTCATAGAATATACAAGTTTTACTAAACTGTGTTACTTAGATTGATTGACCTAAAACTTAGGTCCACAACTTTCCCACATTCAGAATAATAATCACTTATATTTATTGTGAAGGAATGATTTGCCAAAGGCTATGAAAGAGCCATGCCAAATGTTATATTCAGAACAATAATCACTAAATATGCATGATAGTATTTAATTATAAATATAGCGTGAATAACTAACCAGAATCGTGAAAAAGGTTGTCAAATTTCACTAAATATGGATGATGGTATTAACTATATAAATATAGCGCGGGTAACTAGTCAAATTTCACTAAATATGAGAAGGTGTTTAGGATTTTCAAAGCATTTATGGACTTTTCAAAAAGATCATTAAGTCTAAAAAATAGTTGGCTAGCAAATAAGCACTTTTAAAAGTAGCTTTTTAGTTTCTTTCAAAAATAATTCAAAAAGTCATTTTAAAAAATTTAAGATATGCGGAAAATTTTTTAGTTTTCCAATTTTTTTTCAAATTATAATAAAATTTTGAAAACGTTTTTGATTGATTCAGTTTTCAATTTTTTTTAAGAAAATGAAAATTTTCTATTTTCCAAATTGCATGTAAATTAGGAAAGTGAATTTTACAGTTTTCTAAAATATTCTAAATTTCTAAGATGGAAAATGAAAACTCCATCGGTTCCAAGTAAACGTGTTTTCTAAAATTTTCATTGAAAACTGAAATTAAAAACTCAACTTTATTTTTTGAAAATATTTTCTTGAAAAAAAAAAAAACAATTTTTCACAACCAAACGCACGTTAAAAGTTTTCTAACTTTTTGAAAAAACTTATAGCTTATTACTTTAAAAAGACAATACTATCTTCCAAACCTACTATTCTTATGACCATTTTTTTGAAAAAACTTATAGCTTATTACTTAAAAAAGACAATAATATCTTCCAAACCTACCATTCTCCTGACCACTCTTAAATAAACTCGTCTACTTCATGAACTATATAAAAATTTTATGTAAGAATGTCATTTTTTATTTTTCTTTACATATATAAGATAATATAAATACTTTTTAAAAAACAATTTATCTGATTACACATAAGATAATCCAAATACTTTTTAATTTTTTTTTCGCCACCACATACTAATAAACACTTTTGTCAAAAAAATTGCTTATTTAGCTAAATAAGCAATCTCGAACACCCCATAATTGTGAAAAAGTTTGTTGATTTTTCACAAAATATGCATGATATTGTTAACTATATAAATATAGTGTGAATAGCTGGTTAGAACCATAAAGAAAATTTTCTCATATTTTCACTAACTATACATGTAGATCTTTAACTGTACAAAAATGGTACAAATAACAAAGTGATTGTTGATTTTTTTCGCTAAATATGCATGCTGCTATTAAATAGTATATACATGTAGCTTGAATAACTACTCAAAATTATGAAAATGTTGTCAAATTTTCATTAAATATGCATGATAGTTTTTCCGTATAAAAATAGGAAAAAAGAGTTGTCAATTTTTCATTAAATATGCAGCATAGTATTCAATGACGAATAACTTGTAAAAAATTGTGAAAAATAATGTTTTTTTTTTTTTTACTAAATATGTATTCAACTATATAAATACAGTGCAAATACAGTGCAAAAAATGTTATATAAATTATAAACAAGAAAGGTAAAATTTGACCAATGGCCCTATTGTAAATAGAGTGAAATTACTACCCATCCCTTTTTCCCCAAATCTGTACGTCGTGTTCCCTCCCTCTTCGTCGTTCCAAAGAATATCCCCAACCCTCCTCTCCTCCTGTGCTGCCTTCTACCGCCGGCCAAACCCACCCCGGTCGCGACCTCCACTGCTGTCGCTCCTCTTCTTCACCGCACACGTGCACCTCGACGGTGCTGTTATCGCCTCTGTGCGGTCGCTCCTCTTCATCACAACAGGTACGCTCCCATCTCACAAATAATATGCTTCCTGATCATGTTTTCACACTCGAGCAGTTATGGTCTCCGATTGCACTGGTGATGTAGGTCGAAATTTTAGTAGTGTACCACTATAAGACTTCATATGAATTGTGTGGATCTCGACCATTGTAGTGTAGTTCTCAAATTGAAGCTTATGTGCACGATCTATAAAAGGAATGAGGCTTTGATGAGTGTTTTAAAAAAAAAAAAAAAAAAAACTATTTTCATGGTAATTTGTGGTGTTTTGCATGTTACTCCATCTTTGTTACGGATTCTGAAATTTAATTTCTTTGTTGTGTTAGTTCGTAACGATATTTATATAAGAATTAGCTGGTTGATGAATCGATGAACTGGTTAATGGTTTGTAGTTAGGGTTTTTGCTCGAAATGTGACTGTTTTCACAAAACAAAATGTGAATTAGAATAATAGGTCTCAAGTGTAAGATGGAAGATGGCATATGAGGAAATATGAATGATTAGGGAAGACAGAGGAGAGATGATTCTAGAGGGCAATTTGAAGTTATACTATGACAACTCCCTGTCTAAATGATTGAAAAATGGGAATCAAAATCAGATTTTGTTGGAACACTCAAAAGTGAAAGTGAGAGTAGTCACTTTAGATGCACATTCTAACACAGTAATCACTTTAGATGCACATTCAAACACCCTTTAGAGATTGTTGCAGCATAAAAAAAGGTTAAATGACCATTTTTACATTTTTTCAACAACCTTTTCCCAATTTATGCAACAAAGTGCTTTTTAGACAAAGTGCACATCAAAATCTGCAACATTGTAAGGATCATGTGGCACTGGTTAAATGTTTATTTTTGCAAAAAAAAATGTTCTTTTACCAATTTATGAAACAATGTTTCATTTTCTACTAATTTGTGCATCAGACACTTATTACATCTTTTGGTATTAAGATGAAACCTAATTGCATATTTTGTAAAAAAAACACTTTGTCAGGGAAAAATATGAAACATTGTTGAATAAATGAACAATTAAACCCTAACAAAACCTTTTTCTTCACTAATTATCTTGTATCAACATGCTATTACTGTATTGTTCTTTGTTTATTAACAATTAATCATGCGATTTTTGGATTGTAACAAACTTTTTACACCATGTTTTTGCTTCAGGATGGAAAACACAGAAGCAAGTTTCTCTACTTTTGGTATTTCAGAAGAGGTCACTTCATCCCTCAAACATTTAATACAATCCATGCATACTTTTTCCTTCTTTTTTCAAATCAAAAGGGCTCAATAGTCAATAATCTTTTCCATTCTGAATATCATAAATGTTTCGACTCCAGGAAGGTGACAAGCTTGTTGCAGAAGTAATTCGCTATATTCTTTTTAAAACACATCAGAATTCTGGATGCCCAATCAAGAGAGAAGAACTAAGTCAACTAATAACAAAAAACTATCACCATAGATATCTTCCAACTCTTGTTCTCAACAAAGCCACTGCAAAACTTTCAACCATTTTTGGTTATAATTTGAAGGAGCTTCAACGTTCTCGCCCTTCATCAAATAATCAGGCCCGATCTTCACAGAGTAAGCAACTGAAATTGATCAAACTTGTGGTTTATTGATAATGCCATAATGGCATGTTTGTAATTTTGTCATCACTTTTCAGGTTCTGCTGACTTAAAATCATACATTATAACAAGTCAACTAGATCCTGGAGTCTACAAAAAGCATGTTGAAGATACAACAAAATCAAACTTGACTGGATTTGCATTTGTTGTTATTGGCATTGTTCATCTTGCTGGAGGCAAAATTACTGAAGGTATTATTATAACTTCTTTAATCAGACCATGATTTATGTTTCAACAACACATTTAGGTGCTCTTTTTTTACTTAATTGGATTAATGGAATGAGCTATATATGGGTGTTTATTTTTTACTTAATGCAGAAAGAACACTTAATAGAGAAAGTAAAGAAAATAAGGGGCTGTTTCTTTTTGTCTTAATTGGGATAGAATGACTTGATGGTTAAGCCAAAAATACCTGGCTTAATGTATTAAGACTCTAAATCTTTACGTTTTTGCCCTTCTTTTTTTTTTTTTTTTTTTCTTTTCTCCCAACTTCTTTCACGTTAAAATTGATGAATATTGTGAAAAATTTCTTTTGGAATGTAAGGGTAAACTGGTCATATTTTTTAATCATCTCATCATTTAATGATTTTGTCTTTTGGGTACTGCTCATTTCGATTACTCTGTGTATTGATTACTGAAGGTATTATTATAACTTCTTCAAGCAGATCATGATTTATGTTCCATGTTTGCTTAAACGAAGGGTAAATTGGTCATTTATCTCATTCAGGCGGTTTATTCACATCAAAAAAGAAAGAGACTATATGTATACAGTACTTTATTCTAACAGACATCATTACCCATTCAACCAGTTTATCCATATAAAACTTAATGGGAGAAAAAATTGTTACAAATTTCCCCTCATTTACATTCTACTTGCATTTCCCCAAGCCTTCTGTCATTTTCTCAAGTATATTTTTTTAAGAATCATTTATTCAGATTATTATATATAATTAATATGAATTTGTGTTGATTATGAATTGTAGAAAGTCTTTGGCACCATTTAGGGCGATTGGGTATGTCACAGAATGATGAAAGGCACACTGATTTTGGGAATATCAAACAGACAGTGGAAACACTTGTCCAACAAAGGTATTATTTTTAATTTTTAATAAAATCAGATTCAGCCAGGTGGACTCAATACTATATTATATTATATTATATTATTAAAGGAAATCAGTTTCTTACTTGTAACTATTTATTTATTTACTTATAATGTTGTAGATATTTGCACAAGGATAAAAGTAATGGCCCCGAAGGGTTAACATTGTTTTATGAGCTTGCAGAAAGAGGTTTGGATGCCACACTTAGCAGTAGCTTTAAAGACTCCTTATCACAGGTATCAGTTTCAGTCCCACAACTAAAAAAAACACAATGATTAATTTGTTATTGAGTGACATTTATGATTATTTTATATAAATTCATTTTGTGATATGGCAGATTGTCACGAGTGAGGCGACTGCAATTGGACTTGACTAGTATCCAATTTGCTTAATTTAGTTTAGTGGAAACTCTAACCCTTTTGGTTTTATATTTTGTAAAAAATTTAGAAGAATCTTCAAATGCTTATTTGTGCAACAATGTTTCACCGAATTATGAAACCAAATTTCAACTGGTTAAACATGTTACATGTGATGTATGTACAATGTTGTATGTTTCGTACTAGAATAGTAGAATGGGCCATAGAGATGTGAATGTGTGATTTAACTTCATGATTGAGTACTAATTTTTTTGAGTCATAGAATATAATAAAAACATATTCATCCATCAAAGCTTTATTCCTACATAATTATTACAAATTCTTTACCTTTATTCTGTTTCATAACAAAACATCGCCATATAAAGGTTCACTTACAAAAGGGCAAAGGCTTCTTACACATTAACCATATGAGCATAAATGATTAGCTCCAAACCGTTCCCAGATAACTTTATAAACATTTTTTTTTTGAAGGTAAGAAACAACAAAAGAATCCGAATAGGTTAATTTTTAATGTTACTCTTTCTTCTCTTCGTATAGACATCGTTTGTGCTTCTCGCATTCCATATAGGTTCATCTTTAATGTTAGTTCATCCATACTCATATTACTTAATGTATGTAGAATAACACAATTTTCTTGCAACATCCTTTAATTAATCCTTTACGTAGTCATCGGATCATCCACTATTGTATTGCTTTATGTATGTTAATGAATATTTTATTGAACTCGTTAATAGAATGAATTGTTTGATATCAATAACCCTTTACTTTTGCTTGTGTCCGTTGGAGGACAATATTTTCTAAATTCATTGTAATATAACCAGATATGGTATACATAGATGATGAATGCTATTTATTTTTAACAAAATGATGGATATCTTTTAAACTAAAGATGATAGGATTATTACACATATAATTATAAAATAAAAGAATAAAAAAATACAACATGACTACTACAAATTTAATATTTTATATTTTATATTAAAATAAAAAAATTAGTCAAAAATGAATGAAGCTTTTTAATACAATAAAGGAGTACAATAGGAACATTATTGAATAAGGATGGTTAATTGTACAAAATACAAAGCTCAATAGTAGAATAAAAAAAAATAAAAAAAATGATTAATAAAAATAAAAAAAATCACTTCAATAGTAAAAAACAACTTTTAGGTTTGATTTTTAATATGTGACATTTCAGAAAACCTTCCATTCAAGATGCTCAAAGTACATATCAATACATATTGTGTTTAATATTGATTATAAAAATAAACTATCTATCTTTAAAATTAAGTGAAATGTAAGTTTTTATGTAAAATTAGCCATGAAAGATAAGAGTATGGAGAGAGAGAGAGAATTAAAGAGGGAGAAAGAGAAAGCAAGAAGAAAAAGCAAAAAAGAGGTGAAATCGTTAATCATTTGTATACTAACTTTTTATTTTTTTATTAATTGGGAAGAAAAACAAAGCAAATCTTTTTCAAAACTTTCTAGGGAAGTAGCAACCATTCAAGATCTTTTTTTTTTTTTTTTTAAATAAATATATTATTATTATTATTATTATTATTATTATTATTATTTTTTAAATAAAAATCCTAATATTGAATAAATTGTACAAATCTTTGTGTTACAAATAACGCGTGTGTGTAGGTGTTTGTGGATGCTTTAAAATATACATCTTGAAACCAGGATATAATTGAGAGTTTCAAAAGAAAAGTTCATGAATTTAAACATTTTTTAGGAATGATCTGATTTTTATTATTATTTAAAATTGGTTTAATTAACTGTATAGAAAATATTTGAGTTTTTTCCCGTTCATTCCACCTTTTAGCTTTACGTTATATACTTGTATCATTTTTTTTGATAGTATTACCTTAAATTTATATTTATTTTGAATGTGCAACACTTAGAAATGAATTTGTGATTTATAGTAATTCTTATTCCGTAAATTTCTCTAGATTTATAAAGCTACTCACGGTTGGTTTGGTGTTCTTTTTTAGAACATTACTCACTGTTGGTTCGTGTTCCTTTTAGTTTTCTCCTTTTTTGGACTTTACAGTTTGATTGGTAAGTTGATGTCGGGTGAACAAATGGAATTTGTATATGTAATCATAACCAAAAACAGTTAAAACGATTGACTATGTCATCATACATTCATACCCAAAAATTGACTAATTTCTAAACAAAAAACTATCCAAAATTGAAACCATTGAGATTAAAATATACTCAGACTATTTAATAACCTATTAATGAAACAATTCAAATGTCACATATGAACGTTTAAGAAACCATACGTTCTTTTAATCTTTAACAAGTTCAAATCATTAAACACTAAATGAATAACCTTTAAAATTTACCGTTTAACATCTTTCTTTGTTTGTTTCTTTTTAGAAAGCGTTGAACCAACTTATTCATTCGACCTATTGAAATATATATATATATATATATATATATATATATATATATATATATATATATATTTTGGAACAACATGAATAAAATTAAAAAGCTAGCAAGGAACAAAAAAACAACATTTAAAGCTTCAATGGATTCTTTTAACTATGCAATCCAATTTCTAGAAGCCTTCAGGTTCCTAAAACAAAACCAATTAAAAGTCGTACATCATAATTATATCTATAATCATATCATTTTGGTATTTCTTATATTGAAACACTACCACATTACGATAACACCAAAGCACTCATGTAACCGTATAGCAAATCGAGGAATAAAATACCACGCTTCAAAGGCGTCACATGAATAACATCAATCCACTCAAACATCTCTTCAAAATTCTTAAAAGGAGGAACAAGATCCAACCAACTCACAATACGCTGCCACAATTGAGAAGCAATAACACAAGAGAAGAAAACATGATTTACCGACTCCGACAACCCATCACAACATGAACACCTCGTAGACTCCAGATCAATCCCTTTACGCTCTAAGTTAATCCTCATAGGCAACCGATCAAGACCAATACACCACGCCAAAATGTTAGCCTTTATCGGCACTAAGCGATTCCACCGAGTATGAATGAATGTTGAAGATAGTAGTACCATCATCAATATAAGCACAAAGAGATTTAACATAGAAGATACCCGAAACATCCATCTCCCAAGACCAATAATCCATTACTTTAGAACACTAAATTCTATATAATTTCGGAATTAATGAATGAAATTGCTCTTCCTCGACACCCCCACGAAGCTCTTTGCAACAATTAAAAACCAACCATTCTCTGACCAAAAAATATGAAGATAACCATTTCTATTCACTAATAAAGAAAATAACCTGTGAAAATGGTCTCTAAACATCCTTGTTCCACACCACCTGTCTAGCCAAAAGCTAGTATTCCTACATACGCATGAATCATGCAAATGACTGATGGACCCAAGGCCGGCCCTGAGGATTCAAATGCCCAGACGAACCGGGAAAAAAAGCCCCTTAGGCCCTAACGTATAACGAATTAAATTATATAAACTAAAATTCTTTTAAAACGACGATAACAAGTCACCATGTATTTTATATGTACCTTAAATGGTTTGTTGAAGTTGCACCAATTTTGTCTATTTTGATAAATGTTTGTTAGTTTTTATGACCAAATTGGAAGGTTTCCTAGATGTAATCCATCACTTTTCGGCCCTTTGGTGTTCTTTGTTGTGTAAGTTCAAAAATTTGGAGCTTTTGAAACTGAAATTTGGGATGTTAAATGTAACATCCCAACCGTCAGGTATTATTAATATTTTTCTTTTTAGACTTCACGTTGAAGGTCTACTCGACGAGTTGGCGCTATGAATCGTCGAGTAGCAGCGGGTTGG